TATTCCTGCTTCTTTGCTCACAAGGGGGGCCTGGTGGTGCTCCAGGGACCATATGCAGTACCGGGATTGGAACCAGGCCAGCTCCTTTGCAGGGCCTGCAGGCCACTCTCTGGCCCTGTGACATTTGATTCTGCCCACACTAGTTTTGAACCTGCTCTCCGTCAGCCCCTTTCCGCCCCTCCCTGGAATGCAGGTGACTGGTGGGGTTTTCTGGCCAGGAGTGACCCTCAGGTTGCTGGTGGGGGTTTCTGGCCGTGAGCGAGCTCTTTCTCTCTGGGAAGTCACCTGCTTCTCTCGCCCTTTCTGCTTACGAGGAATCTAGTGTGACATTTCAGTAACTGACTTTTCTGGGAAACCGTTTTCTTCCCTGCGGTCGACTGAGCGGGCTCTGACTGCCTGAACTGGGGTTCCTGGAGGGCTTTCCCAGGTGCCTTTGTGGGCCACCCTCCTCCCCGCAGATCCTCTATGCGGTGGCCGGGATGCAGGCGGGAACAAACCGGGAGCCATGGGGCAGTTTGACATCCTGGGATTTGGTCGGGGGCCGGAACCTGTGTTTTTGGAGGAAATGTGTTTTGGGCTCCTTGGGTCTAGCGAATAACACTCAGACACCCTCACACAGGGTCTCCCCTGCCTTGCGGCTTTGCTCCCCACGGGCATCTCTTTCCTTTCGTGCTTTTTTCTCGGGCGAGCCAGCTTCCCCCTGTGATGGTGGGGTCTGAGGGCACCTACTTGCCCTTTGATGCAGACGTGTGCATCAAACTGTGCCCTGGGGTTTGCAGAAATGTTAGGGGGGAGGGGGCGTGCTCAGGGATTACTTTTGGTTGTGTTCTCAGGGGTCACTTTCGGTGGGTGCGGGAACCATTTGGGGGGTGCTGTAGGTAGAACTGCACCCAGGTCTGCTGCGTGCCAGGCAAATGCCTACCCACTGTGCTGTCACCCCAGCCCTGAATGAAGCGTTAGGTTTTCCATGATGGAGCAAGTGGCTTGTTGGCAGCTCGTTGGCGGCTCAGCCTGCCTTTCTGGAACCTGGGCTCACCCGTTGTCTCCCCGTAGCCTGGACCTCATGGGACAGCCGCCCCCCTTCCCCGTGGGTTCCCTTTCCTGCTCTTAAGTGGGCGTGTCTGCCGTATGTGGGGCTGCCACAGTGGGGGAGAGCCCCCTTGGTCTGCTTCCTAGGGCCCTGGCTCTGTGCGTGGGGTCCATGGATTGAGTCCCCCAGAACATGTCTCAGGACAGGCTGAATCATGGACCTGGGAGGGGTGGGGGTGGGTGGGCGCCCGCTGCTGGCAGGATCCTTTGTCTCAGAATTGGGAACAGCCCGAGCTGGTGTGGAAGCTACTGGAAAGGAAGCCCGTCCTCTGGTACAGAAACCCTTGTTTTCCCCGTCCTGGGAGAGGATGAGAAGAGAGAGTATTTATTTTTCAGAGAGAAAATGAAAACATTTCCCAGATGTTCTTGATGGTGTCCTGCTTGGGGAGAATGTGGCCAGAAGCTTCTGGAACCCCTGGCTGCTTCCTGTGAGGGTCGAGTGGGGGAGGGGGAGTATCTGGAGTGGTCTCAGGGGTCTTAGGAGAGGGGGAGGCTGGGTGGTTGGTTTGACTGCTTTTCATATTCATGTGGTGCTCCTTCATCTGGCGTGCTGTGAAGCCAACTCATCCATCACGGACTCTGTAAACTAAGGAATTTTAGGTGTTTTGAAAACCTGAATATTTGGCTTCCAGAAATTAAATATTTGGGGAGTGAAATCTGAGGTCAGCAAGTTCCTAATAAAGCGACGATAGGGCCAGAGTGCTGGCACCGTGGGCCAGTGCTTGCCTTGTCCGCAGTGGGCCCACAGGCTCCCCTGAGCCCTCCGAGACTGAGCCCAGAGCACCGCTGGGGGTGGCCCCAAGCCAAACATACCGAGAGGAATGCTTTGCTGGGTGGGCAGTGGGGTCACGAGAACGATAGCATGTCTGGATGCATGAGGGAAGTCGGGGGTCCCAGGGACCCATCTGTCATGTGTCTCCCATTGTTAATGCAGGCGCAGTTTGCAATAGTGATTCATCGATATTTTTCACAGCAGCCTAGAACACAAGTTTGAACCCTCTCATGGTATTAATTTTATTGTTGTAATGTGAGGAGCCGGGCGGGGGGAGAGGGCTCGGGAACCTGGGGGCTCCTCCAGGGAACTCTCTGCCATGAATGCTGGCTCAGACAATCAGCAAGATCCCTCTGCCTCATCTCATGCAGCGTTCACAGCTTTTTTTTTTTTTTAATCGTTTCTATGGAATTTTTTTTTTCTTTTTGGGTAACACCTGGCAATGTACAGGGGTTACTCCTGGCTCTGCACTCAGGAATTACCCCTGGCGGTGCTCAGGGGACCATGTGGGATGCTGGGAATTGAACCTGGGTCGGCCGCATGCAAGGCAAACGCCCTACATGCTGTGCTATTGCTCCAGCCCCACTATGGAACGTAATAGCACAGCGGTAGGGCATTTGCCTTGCACGCAGCCAACATGGCCGACCCGAGTTCGATTCCTCCGCCCCTTTCGGAGAGCCCGGCAAGCTACCGAGAGTATCTCACCCATACAGCAGAACCTGGCAAGCTCCCGTGACGTATTCGATATGCCAAACACAGTAACAACAAAGTCTCCAATGGAGATGTTAACTGGGCCCGCTCGAGCAAATCGATGATCAACGGGAGGGCCTTTACCTTTTACCTTTTATTTTTTATTTTATTTATTTTTTGAGTCACCGTGAAAGATAGTTACAAAGTTTTCATGTTTGAGTTTCAGTCAAACAGTGATCAAACACCCATCCCTCTACCAGTGCACATTCTCCACCACCAGTATCCCCAGTATACACCCCCTCCCCCTTTCCAACCCTCCCCCTGCCTCCATGGCAGACAGTTTTCCCCGTACTCTCTCTCTACTTTGGAGCATTATGGTTTGCAATACAGATATTGAGAGGCTATTATGTTTGATCCTTTTCTTTCAGCACACATCTCCCATCCCGACCGAGCCCTCCAACCATCATTGTCTTAGAGATCCCTTCTCTATTCCAGCTGCCTTCTCCCCCAGTTCATGAGACAGGCTTCCAACTAGGGGGCAGGATTCCTGGCCCTTGTGTCTACTGTCCTTGGATGTCCGTCTCATATTTTGTGACTTCATATTCCACAAATGAGTGCAGTCAATTCTATGTCTGTCCCTCTCCTTCTGACTCATTTCATTTGGCATAATACTCTCCATGACCATCCTCCACTTATAAGCAAATTTCATGATTTCAATTCTAACAGCTGCATAGTTATTCCATTGTGTAGATGTGCCAAAGTTTCTTTAACCAGTCATCTATTCTCAGACACTCGGGTTGTTTCTGGCTATTATGAACAGAAGTTCACAACTTTCTGTTTGGAAATTGAAATGGCTGTCCACAGGCTGTACTTCCCGTGTGCGCATCTGGGACAGATGGCCTCAGTTGCAGGCCACTGAGGTGGGCCCTACCTTCTCTACCTGCCCCAATTTGCAGAGGAATGAGGCAGAGGTGAAGGACACTGTGTTCCCAACACAGAGTGTTTGTGATGTGAAGCGCGTGGGTGTGCTGGTGCCCAGGGCCCTGGGTGCGGTGCTGTGACTGTGTCATGGGGCATGGGTGCCCAGTGGGTTTGGGGCAACACCTCCCAGCTCAGCGCTGTCAGGAGTGGGTGGGCGGTTGGGGGTCACAGGACCTGTGCTGCTTAAACAGAAGCGACATGCCAGGGCCCATCGGGGTTGATATCCCTCATCTCTGGTGCCTACTTGTTTTTGTTTGGGGCCCATGCCCAGTGATGCACAGGACTGACTCCTGGCTCTGTGGTCAGGTGGGGCTCAAGGAACCATATGGGGTGCCGGGAATTGAGCCCCTGGGCAGCTGCTTATAAGACAAGCGTCCTTCCCGCTATACACTCTCTCCAGCCCCTGCTTTTGCCACTTTAAAAGTTCGACTCTGGTATGGGGGAGATTGTCTGCCATAGAGGCAGGGGTTGGGGTGGGATGGGGGGATACTTGGGACATTAGTGGTGGAGAATGTGCACTGGTGGAGGGATGGGTGTTTGCTCATTGTATGACTGAAACTCAAACAGGAAAGCTTTGTAACTGTATCTCACGGTGATTCAATAAAAAATACTTTTTTTTTTTAGCACCAGCTGATCTTTCTGAGGATAAGAATGCCTACCCTCTATTAGCGAAAGTGGAGGTTTCAGACAGTATCGCCTCGTCTCGAGCAAGGTGTCGGGAGAGGTTCAGGATGTCACACCCCCGTGTGTGGGTTTCCATAGAACAAGGGGACACATAGCACATAGGAGGAGCCTGCATACTGGAATCTGGCAGGGCTCGGCTCTCTGGCTCTGTTGGGGGTGCTCTGGGGAACGCTTGTTCAGTTCTGCTTCATGGCACTGCTGTTAGAATATGGGGTGACTGTGCTAGAATACGGTATGACTCTCCATACTGGAATAGGGGGTGACTCTTCGTGCTGAAATATGGGTTGACTCTGCTGGAATATGGGATGATTCTGTGCTAGAATATGGGATGACTCTGCCCATGCTGGAATACGAGGTGACTCTCCGTGCTAGAATATGGGGTGACTCTCTGTGCTGGAATATGGGGTGACTCCGTGCTAGAATATGGGGTGACTGCCGAGAGGGACCAGAATCATTTCCAACCAAAGATTCATGTCTAGAAATCAGCATCTGTTTGCAAACCAGGGAACCAAAGATTAATTTGCTTTGATTTGATACTCAGTGGAGCCAGAAATACTCACGGCAATGGACGGGTGAGACTGTGTGAGACTTGTCTGTTAGAAATAAAATAACAGGTAATTGCTGTATCGTCAATATTGTTATTTTAGGCGAGTCTCCCCCTTCCCTCCGCCCCCTCCCTCTCCCGCTCCATATCCCTGCGCTCCGTTGGAGCTCCCGATTTGCAGCTGTGTGTGTTGGTGCCTGCGTGCCCGCAGCTCTGGCTGATGCTGTTCTGTCTCCCCAGGTACATGTGAAGATGGCGGACGAGGCCGTGTGCGTGGGCCCCGCGCCCACTGGCCAGAGCTACCTCAACATGGGCGCAATCCTGGAGGCCGTCAGGAAAACGGGAGCCCAAGCTGTGAGTCCGAGGGCAGCTCTGCGCAGTGCAGGATGCTGGAGCCTGTGTTTAGGAAAAAAAAAAAGGAGAAGAAAGGAGGATTGAGAATGCTGTTGGGGCCAGGCGCATTGCGGGGGCTCACGGTGGCTGGATTCGCTCCTGGAAAGCAAAGGCCCTGGAGCACCTGGCAGTGTGGGCCCTGAGCCCCAGGTGCCCGATGGAGGGGGTGCATACCGGGGAGCAGTTGCAGCTCATTTCCAAATTTGCTGGGGCGGGGGTTGGGGGGAGGGAGAGAGAGAGATCGATCCCAGTTAGTTTTGAACATTAACCCTTTCAGAAGAATACACGTATTAAAAAATTCTGTAAGAGCCTCAGGATTCGAAGGCACTGGCTTCAATTTTAATTGTTTAAAAAAAAATTGGGGGTGCTGGAGCAATAGCACAGCGGGTAGGGCGTTTGCCTTGCATGTGGCCGACCCGGGTTTGATTCCCAGCATATGGGAATATGGTCCCCCGAGCACTTCCAGGAATAATTCCTGAGTGCATGAGCCAGGAGTAACCCCTGTGCATTGCCGGGTGTGACCCAAAAAGTGAAAAAAAAAATTTGGTAGGCTTATTGAGATCATCAGAAATAAAAATTGTTGCTTAATTTAATGTGATGATGGCAATAGAATTACATGTAAGTGCCATGAGAGGTCAGGGCTCCCAGCCCCAGTTTGGTTTGAACGGAGTGGAATCCAAGGAAACACACTGGTGATGAGGACCAGTGATTTAAAAACAAAAAAACAAACAAAAAAAAACCTCAACTAATTACATATAATGTTAAAATTACGCAGAATTTTCTCTCAGAGTGAATGGATACAGCCAACAATTAGCCTGGAGTGCTTTCATTGGTGTCCACATTTATTTCTTGAAAGAAGTGTTTTAGTAAGATGCATGTTTAATGAAAACCTGAATTCATGAACTCACTTTATAGATGTTTACAGTTCATTAGCGGAGTTAATGGAAGTAAAACTCTTAGCTTTTATTTTTGTTTGTTTTTGGTTCATACCCAGCAATGTGCTTAGGACTTACTCCTGCCTCTGCACGCAGGGATCACATCTGGAAGGGCTCTGGGAACCATATGAGGTGCTGGGGAGCGAACCTGGGTCTGCTGCCTGCAAGGCAAGCGCCCTACCCACTGTATTACCGCTCTGGTTCCAAAACTCTCAGCTTTTTAACTATAGCTTGTCAGAATATAATCTTTAGTGGAATATTAGTGACATGAAATTATTGGAATAAAACTCTTTCCCTCTGCTGCAGGTTAAGGCTCCATTTAGCATTTTATTTGTTTTTATTTATTTATTTTTGCTTTTTGGGTCACACCCCATGATGCACAGGGTGCATCCTGGCTCATGCACTCAGGAATCACTCCTGGCGGCGCTTGGGGGACCAAATGGGATGCTGGGAATCGAACCCAGGTCAGCCGCGTGCAAGGCAAACGCCCTCCCCGCTGTGCTATTGCTCTGGCTCCCATTTAGCATTTTAAAGTCTCAGATGTGTGGTAACCTCTAGATTCTGATATTGATGCCTTCTGAAGTTTCTCTTATAGCAGAATTTTCATTTCAAAATTTTTTTTAAATTAGAAGTATATTCCACATTGCAGAAATGCAGTGAGTAGATTTTTGTTGGGCCAGTGTGTGAGTCCTCCATTCGAACAGGAGAGAGGAATCAGCCTGCATTGCTAGGTACCTGTGAGTGATTAAAAATTGGGGGTGAGGGTACTGGAGCAATAGGACAGTGGGTAGAGTGCTTGCCTTGCACGCGGCCAACCTGGATTCGGTCCTTGTCACCCTGTATAGTGTCCTGCCAGGAGTCATCCCTGAGCGCAGGAGTAAGCCCTGAGCACCTCTGGTATGGCCCCAAAACAAAAATGGGGCCAGGAGAAGGACTAGAGAGAGTGCTCAGTGGGCTGAGCATGTGCTTTGTGGGCAGGAGACCTGGGCTCAGTCCCTAGCACCATCTGGTCGCCCCCAGTTCCTGAGAGTGAGCCCCTACAGAGTCCCGAGTAGCTCCTCGGCACTGCTGGTTGTGGTTGTGGCTGCGACACCGACAAACGGAGCTTGGGGTGAGGAAAGAGGAATGGCTGCCAAGAGGAAGTAAAGCCAGACTTTCGCTTGAGTTAGGTAGTGGCCGAGTTTATTAAGGTCTTTAAGAATTAAATAAATTTGCTAAGTTCAGAAAGCCGCCATTCCTGGGCTTTGAAAGGAACTGTAGTTTTTAGAAATCTATTGTGCTTAGGGTTTCCATGAACATCATTGTTTTTCTTGGAGGTCGGGAGTAGGGGTTACACCTGGCAGTGCTCAGGAGTCACTCCCATCCATTAGTGGGCCTGGATCCCGGCAGTGGTCAGGAGTCACTCCCATCTATTAGTGGGTCTGGATGTCAGCAGTGCTCAGGAGTCATTCCCATCTATATGACTGGGTCTTGATTCATCACAGTGCTCAGGGGTCATTCCCATTCTTGCCTGGGTCTTGATGCCAGCATTGCTCAAGGGACCAGGTAGTGCCAGTCTTTGTACCAAGGGCGTCATGCTCCTGGGCCTCCTAAATTATTGTGCTACCTGCCAGCTGTTTCCAAACTCGAGTCCAGAGTCAGCCTCAGAATCTGAAGAGGGGACTGTACCCTTGGGAGGGTGTTTGCTTTGCAGACAGCCAAACTGGGTTCAATACCTGGCATCTAATAGGGTCCCCTGAGTACTGCCGGGAGTGATTCTTGAGTGCAGAGCCGGGAGTAAGCCCTGAGCATCCCTGGTGTGACCCCAAAACAGAAGAAAAGCAAAAAGAAAAAGAAAAAGAAGAGGGACAGCGTGAGTTGTATCATGAAATATGCCGGGGACACATGTGCAGGGCAGAACCCATGTGTGTTGATGGCCTGATCCCAGTGAGGACACAGGGCAGCTGCCAGAAGTTTCTAGAACTTGAGATTTGTCGGTGCCCCAGAAGGTTGCCGGAGCAGGCAAGCGAGTCCCTTCCTCCAGGGCTCTGTGACAGTAGGCACGGGTGCATGGGGACGGAAAACTGAACGTGGTCTTCGTCTTCTTTCTCAGGTCCATCCAGGCTACGGATTTCTTTCAGAAAACAAGGAGTTTGCCAAGTGTTTGGTAAGTGGGTCACAGAGCAAGAACCGCTCACCTGCATATCTGTGGCTGCCCAGGGGGCCTGTGCTGGTGGCAAAGCTGGGAAAGTCCCAGCAATTTTTTCTTCCTTCTTTTTTTTTTTTTGGTGGGGGGGGACACACCTTATATGGCCTAGAGTTTCTTCCGCCCTGAGTGCCTGGGTACACTTGGGGTCCCCCCATCTAGAGTGAGCGCTCTGGGCCCTTTGAGTTCCATCCCCAACACCCTGTAGGGTCCCCCAAGACCCACTGAGTTCTCCTAGTGCAGGCCCAGGAGTCAGCCCTGAGCAGTGCTGGGTGTGGCCCCCAAACAAATAAACAAAAAAATGATTTGAATATAGATTTCCTGTTTCAGCATCCTGGTAGAGTGGATGGTGGGTTCGGCTCATGCCTGTCCAAGGAGGTGCTGCTCTGTCTCGCCTCTCGCCTGTGGTTGGTGTAACGCAGTCCACGCCTCCATCCCGGGTGGTGTGTGGCCGAGAAGAGGCGCAGAGTCAGAGGGGCCCGTAGAGCTGCGAACACTGACATTACGGCCCTTGGCAGGAAAAGCCCGTCCACTCCTGGGGTAGCTGAAAGCTCAGGCCCCAGAGATGGCATGGCCACGCTGGCATGTGCATCCGTGAGTCACTCACGTGGTTAAAGATGCTCCTCTGGGTCTGCATCTACGGGGCCCGGGAAGGATTACAACTGAACCGCAGGGTCTGGGCAGGAGCGCAGCCCGTGTGCATATCACGGAAGCTACATCAGGGTCGCGCAGAGCATCTGCTGAGGACGGAGAACATGGTGCCATCCAGGCGCCCTGGGACGGATGAAGGCAAGAGAGAAGAGAGGCTCTTCCCGTCTGGGCAGGTGGTTCGCACAGGGGCACTTTGCTGTCCCGGGTGTTCTGCAACGCTCTATCCCCTCCGTTTCCCTGCATTTCCCTGCCTCCACCCAGCCTGACCCCACGTCCTCCTCTGCCCGGCTGCTGGCTGCTTGGTGATTGACCGTGGGCACCTCTGACCTCTCGGCCCCCATTCCCAGCTTCTAACTGGCCCTTGCCCAAGTGGCGTGCCTACTCTGCAGTTAGGTTGCCGGCGATGATGCAGTGCTTAGGTGGGCTCTACGCATGTCCACCCGTTACAGACCATTCCCCCAGGTCAGCCCTTCTCACGCCCCGTCTGCAGGATTGTCCTGGTGAGAGGTGGTCGCTCGTCTCTCTCCTGGAATGTTGGGGCGGGGTGCCAAAATTGTTCCTCTGTTTCAGTTTCCTCCTGAGACAGAGGCTTGGTGAAGGTGATGATAATATGCTCACACACAGCAGTGCTCACTCCTGGCTCTGTGCTCAGGAGTTACTGGGTGGCTGGGGATGGAGCACAGGCCGCGTGCACGGTGAGCATCCGACTCCCTGTGCCATCTCCTCACTGCCCCCCTGCTCCACTGCTCGAGCTCTTTTTTTTTTTGTTTTGTTTTGTTTTTGCTTTTTGGGTCACACCCAGTGATGCTTAGGGGTTTCTCCTGCCTGGCTCTGCACTCAGGAATTACTGGCAGTGCTCAGGGGACCATACGCAAACTCCTTACCCACTGTACTATTGCTCAGGCCCCAAGGTAAATTATTCTTTATGCTTAATTTTTATCAAATTGGATCAAATGATACATAATTCCTACTTTATATTATTTGAACAAAGCCATATCTTTTTTTTTCCATTAGTGAATCACCTTGAGGTACAGTTACAAATTTACGAACTTTTCTATTTTAGTCACACAATAATCATTTACCCATTCCTCCACCAGTGCCCGTTCTCCCCCACCAGTGTTCCCAATATCCTTCCCACCACCCCCACCCCATCCCGCTCCCATCCCACTCTGCCTCTGTGGCAGGGCATTCCCATTTGTTCTCTCTCCTTTTGGGTGTTGTAGTTTGCAATAGACTTATTGAGTGTCCATTGTGTTCTGTCTATAGTCTACTTTTGGCACGCATCAACAAAGCCATATCTTAATGTTTGCTATTGTTAAAATAATCCATGGAGTAAACAATGCTTTAAGTAATGCTTATGAAGAATAGCATTAAAACTTTTTTTATTTATTGTAGTCTTGGGGGCCAGTGCTAGTGTTTGGTCCATGTGGTACTGGGGATCAAACCCCAGACCACACATGTTCTACCACTTGAGTCCCATTGCTAGCTCAATAAAACAATTTTTATATGCTGAACAAAATCTTATTTTCAAACGGATTTCCAGTCTGTATTTTCCTGGTGGACATCATGGTTTTAGTTGGTAAAGCAATATGATGGGAAGTAATGCAGGGCCTTAGGACTCACAAAATAAAATTGGGGCTGGGAGGAGTCCTTCGAAGGCTGGAGGCCCCACGTTTGATCCCTGGGGCCGCACCCTACCCCCACCCACCCTACCCCCACCCAGCATCTCTGGGCTAGAGTCTCCCTGGGGATTCCAGCACCTTTAGTTCAAGTAGAACTGAATCTCTGTGCCAGAACCCCTCAACCTTCAGGCCCACGCAGCCTCCGCACTACTTGGGATCCGTCTGATGAAAGAGAAGTTGTCTTGTGTGGGGTGAGGGAAGGCTCACCAGCGGTGCCTGGGCTGACTCCTGGCTCTGCCCTCAAGGACCATATGGGATGTTGAGGGTTGAACCAGGACCCACTGTCAGCCAGGCAAGCACCTTGTTTCTGTACTATCTCTCAGGCCCAAGAAGTTTTTTTGCCCATCTACAGAGAGATGCCCTTTTGGAGAGGGCGGAGGGTGGGAGTAGAGAAGGTAGGGTAGGGACATCCCTGGCAGTGCTCAGGCCTTACTTCTGGCTCTGTGTTTAGGGCTCACTCCTGTTGGGACTTAGGATGGGGTGCCGGGGATTGAACCTGGGTCAGCTGCGTGCAAGGCAGATGCCCGCCTGCTGTACTCTGGCCCCAAGAGATGTTTTTTGTGTATCTGCTGGTTTGGGGATCACACCCCCAGCTCAGACTCTGAAAGCTCAGACTCTTCCTGGCATGCCCCAGCCACACCCCACTGCTACCCAGATAAACTAAAAGCTGCTCTTAGTAAGGTGGCTTTCAAGAGCAGACTCCAGATAGCTCCCACATTTCTCATTGTAAAAAGAGTTTGATCCAAAGATTAGCAACAATGTGTCTAGAGAATGTAGCCAGGTCTGCCTCTGCAGAACCTAATCTCAGATGTTCATGCCTTCCTTCCTGGGTATGGACCTATGAAGAGCCACAATGCAGTTTACAGAGTCTTTGGGGGCTGGGGTTCCGTGGAGATCCTGGAATCTGGGCGTTCATTTTGTGTGTGTTTGCTCCAGGACTTGTCAGGACTCTCGGCAGTTTCCAAGCTGCTGCCTGGTCGCCTGGTGGAGAGTGTCCAAGGAATGACACCAAGCTGAAGATCAGAGAGGCGGAGGGGTTCAGCTACACCCTAGACTGCTTTCCCCAGATGCATCACAAGGGGTCAGAAACGGGGGCGGAGGAATCGAACCCGGCTCGGCCAGACTGGCTGCGTGCAAGGCAAACCCTCTACCGCTGTGCTATTGCACCAGCACACAGAACATACAATCTGCCCTGTTCAATGTTGTATTTTATTGTTTTGAGGGGCCATACCCAGTGGTGCTCTGGGGCTACTCCTGGCCCTGTCTGTGTTCAGGGGGGATCATGTGGTCAGGGATCAGATCAGGCCTTTTGTATGCAAATCACGCCCTCATGCCTTCTGAACCAGCTCTCTGACCCCCTTTTCAATATTACCTTATTTTGGGGTCACAACGAGCAGTGCTCAAGGATCGCTCCTGGTGGGGCTGGGGGAACCATGTGCCATGCCCGAGATCAAACCTGAGTTGGCTGTGTGGAAGGCAAGTGCTTTACTTGGTGTACGCTCCTTGGCCCCCATTTTCAGTATTTTAAATGTATGGTTCAGAGGCATTCAAAGCATTTATGGTATGCAGTTATCAGTACCATGCATCTCTAGAACTTTCTTATCGTTCCAAACTCAAACTTAAACTCGGCACTCATTAGATAGTTCCAAACTTCCCACTTCCCCGCCCTGCCTCTCTCTGACCCCCCCATCTCTCTATGAATTTGTCTGTTCCACATATTTTATGTAATTGGAATAATATTTGTCTTTTGTGTCAGGCTTGTTTTACTTCATATAATATCTCAAATTCATTGATGTTCCATTGCTTTTTTAAAACTGAATAATAGTTTATTATATGAATGTACCTGACTTTGTTTATCTGTTGCTTATCACCCAGTTGGGACAAATATCAGACTGAAATGACCTTTTTTGTTTTCGTTTGGGGGGCCATACTTGGTCGTGCTCGGGCTTACTCCTGACTGTTCAGAGGTCACTCACTGAGATCTTGGGGACCATATGGCTGCTGGGAATTGAGCCTGGGTCAGCTGCATGCAAGGCAAGCATCTGAGCCCCATACTGTCTCTCTAACCCTTAGTTTTTTTTTGCTTTTTGGGTCACACCTGGTGATGCACAGGGGTTACTCCTGGCTCTGTATTCAGAAGTTACTCCTGGCAGTGCTCAGGGGACCATATGGGATGCTGGGAATCGAACCCGGGTCGTCCGCGTACAAGGCAAATGCCCTACCTGCTGTGCTGTCTCTCCAGCCCCACCCTTAGTTTTTAAAATTCTATTTTATCATCATCATCATTATTATTTGGATTTGAGGTCACAGGCAGTAGTGCTCAGGGGTTACTCCTGACTCTGTGCTCAGGGATCACTCTGGGGCTCTGGGGACCCAATGGAGTGCTGGGGAGTAAACCTCGGTCAGCCGCGTGCCAGGAGAGGGTCCTCCCCGCTGTCCTGTCGCTCCCACCCCGCAAGCCACTACTCAGACTTCCATATGTGCTTGTTTCCACCTTTTGTATGAGAGAAGTTGCTGAATTGAAATTTGGAATACTGGAAGGAAACGTAGTAAGTCTCTCCTATGTCAGCCTTTATTTTCCTGGGAAAGTGCTGATTTTCACGGAGAGTAGCCTTGTGACCTCTGACC